CCCTACGACGATCTCACTGCGACTTTACACGTTCTCAACGACAAATTCGAAGGTCCTGCTTCTGAAACGTGTCGAATTTTGGTGCCTGGTTACTCATCCACGACAACTACTGCTTCGACATCGACATTGTCGACGACGGCTTTTGCGGCGACGACGTCTTCATCATCGACGATGTCATCTGCATTTTCATTCGAGTATCATGACTCTCCTACGTCTGGATTTAGTTCGTCACCGGATTTGTCGACGCTGCAGTCGCCATCAGCAGTGACATCTGTGGTTGAGAAAGTGATCTCGCATCACCCGAGTTTTGCACCGTTAATGGCTCCGTTGTCTTCGTTTCTCGCCACCGTTTCTTCTAGTATGAATCATCCAACGACTCCCACGACTTCTGATATACCTGAACAGGTTCGATTTTGTTTTTTAAATGATTTCTCGTATACTGAGCAGCCTACACGTTCTTCTAAATCTTCTGTCAAAATTTTAAGCGAAAATACCTTTGAATATATTCTCAGTGTGTATGCAGTGGACAGCTTTTGGGAATTTCTCGCAATTATCTTTCTGTGCCTTTCTTCTGTATGAAAACTGCGTACAGAATTTGCCTTTTCGGTATGAAATGAAGTTCAACGAACAAAAAAAGCTCAGATATTGCTTAAATTTTAAGCGTAAAAATGCCTTTGAATATAATATTCTTAGTGTACACAGTTGAGGGGTTTTTTGAATTTCTCGCGATTTTCTTTCTGTGTGCTTTTCTGTACGAAGATCATGCAGAATCTGACTTTTTGTCATTTAATGCAAGTACAATAGACAAAAAAACATTGCTCGAAAGTGCAAAGTTGATGGAAAAACTCTGAAAAGTTGGGCATCGAGGTCTGAAACTGAAATGGTCTTATTTTAGAAGCAGAGAAAAATCAGGTCACATGGAAAATTTTGTCGCCATCCTCATGCACACACCGAGAAAATATCTAGAATCAGATCAATTTTTACAGCAATGTCAATGTTTTTGACGAAAGCAGTCTTTTAACAAAAAGAACAAATTGATGGCTGCACAAGCTCATTTTGCACGAAATGCATAATGCCATGTATCAATTATGAGAGGTAAACAGCATGCATAAAATAGGACCCAAAGATGTTGAGGTACCATAATTACATCTTAGACTCATTTGTCAATATCTTGAAATATCAGCATGCTGTATCAAAATTTTCCTGTAGACTTCAAGGGGAACATTTTTGATCACTTGGCAAAAAATGGGAATAAAACCTCCAAAAACTTCAAAAAAAATGTATTGTATATCTCAACTTCACGACTCAGAAAAAAACTTTGAAAATAAAAATCATAGAGAATTTTCCTTTTTCGCTAAAAGAGAAGTCCAAAATAATAATATAAAAATTACATATTGATCTAATTTANGATCAATTGAACGCGACTCGAGTGCAAAATTGCGGAGACGTGTCGCCAACTTTCGACCAGTGGGAAGAGATGCAAGATGAGTTGGGCCAATTGCGAGACGAAGTGTCTGCTTTGAGACAACGAGTGGTTGATGTTGAAATGGACGGCAGAAGACGTAGACGTTGACAAAATATTTATCATTTGAAAAATTATTAATTAACTTAATTTATCATTCAATCGTTTCCTGCTGCAATACAAATCATCCAGATATTATAAATATATTCACACGCACTAAAAAAAACTTTTAAATAACTGAACCCAACAGCGGCGACGTTCACAACATTTTTTGGAGATTTTTCGAGTAGAAAGCCGACTCGTATATTATTCCATTCAATTTGGAAATTGTTGGAAATTGCATTTCTTATAAAGTTACAGCTGCTATCTGTTGGAATTGCTTTTAAAAATGCAGACCAATCCTCTATTAATTGAAAAAAGCCTTTTCGAAGCCTACAAAAAAATAGCTTTGAGTTTTCTATGGAAATTACGGTCAACTTTCGGAACCAAGAAAACGTTTGAAAAAAAACAAAACTGATGTGGAGAACAAATGTTATGTTGGAATAAAAAAATATCTTCGAAATTAAGTTATTCAAATCCCAGTTTTAAGGTGGATTAAGGGAACTTCTCTTCCAAAAACTGAAGGATCAGTTCTTTTTTGTTGTTGTTGTTGTTACTGCTGTAGCGAGGGACATCTGTGATTTTGTTGGAAACCGATGCTCAAAGCGAAATTTTTTGCTGGCCAAGTTTGTTGACTGGTTTAATCTTGGCAGCGGTTATGAATGTTTGCCAGTTTCAAAAACTGGACGTATTTTTGGTTTCTGCCGCAAAATATTTATTTATTTGTTCAAGTTTGCGGAAATATTGATTCAAAGTGGATCGTTGTTTCGTCAGTGTGAAGGAAGATCGAAATGCAATTAACGCGGAAGAATGCTGTTGCAAAAAACTGCGAGAGCAGGATTTTCTCATTCAGAATGCTGCAAGGTTTTCAATAAGACCTTCAATGATTTCTTTGCATGGTCACCTATGTTTGATGAAGGATGAAATGAAGGTTTCCTCCGTTGTCTTTTTTTTATAGGTCCGAATTATTCTTCTATCTGGTTAATTAACCGACTTCATCATGGACGAAATTTCAGCTGATGACCAACTTGTCAATGACTATAATGGATCGGTTTCGAACAAAGATATTGAAGACATCGAAAGAGCAGATGATGATTGCGGGGAAAATTTTCCTGTGCCCTCTAGTTTACAAGGACTGTGTCCGAAAACATTCTATGAAATCAAAGCCGAAGATCCATGTGAGAACAATTTTATTTTACCACCTTAAATCCGAGATTTAGGCTTATGATGTGGAATATTTGCAGTTGTATGGCTCGCGGAAATTCTTGCAATTTAAATCAGAAGAATATCTGAAATTCGGGGAGCTATCAAAATAATTCAAATTCGAATTCCAAGGAAACTTAAAATTAAGGAATATATCTCTGAATCTACTGTACTGTATTGTATATGCAAATCTAACAATTTAATTCAATCGCTTTAATGAGATATCTGATAATATAATTATCTGTTTTAAAATTTACCAGATTATTACCAGGCATGACTGCTGTGGATTCAATGGAAATATTACGGATAAGATTCCTCCTTTTCAATGATGTTCAACTTGTAATAACAGGAATATAATTTCAGGATATGGTATTCAGTAAAATGTTTCCAGAAATTGCAGAGTAACACGAGCATTCATGTGATTTTCTGTACACAAAAAACCTCTAATTCCACACTCGAAAAACAATGGCCCATGATTTAATTGAAATTAAACGTTTTTACTCTAATGTATCAAATGTATTCGACGAACTAATTAGGGCAGCTGAAGACATGGAGGGAGTAAATATAAAATTAATTTTTTTTGTTCATCAACTCGGTACGCATAAAACAATGGTGCCAAATATTCTGGTTTACTCAGAGGCAAAAAAATTAAATCAGGTCTAAGTGTCTCATATTTTTAGTTGAATGGCTTTGTTTTCCTCAGTTTGATAAATTTTCCTAGCTATGAGGTACAGTGCTCAAATTTTGTAGAGTATATGCCAGTAATGAATTAATTGCCTAACCCTTAATTTGAACATCCCAATAATTTAGTGCCTGACATTTAAATATTCCCTAGAGTCAAATCACACGGTTGAAACTTCGCTTCAGTTCTTGGGTTAAAATTTAAATAAATGCAAAGCAGATCATGGGTTTACCGCAGAATCTCGCATGAATCTGACTCTTGAACACAGATCCCAAAATACAAAAAGAACTCTTGATGCTTGAGATTAATTGTAACCCTCAATTTGGTGCCCGTAACCCATGCACTTCAACCCTCAGCATTTCAGGCGTGGAATTATTTTCGGCATAAGAAAAGGATTGCGGATAATAAATTCGTCATGAGAAATTCAGACATTTTTGAAAGTCTGAAACGAGTCACATGGTTTTTTTTCCGGAGAATAAGCTTTTTCTTTTATAATCCCAGGTGGGGACCTCGTGTGTTTCAAGGACTACTGCGGGAAAGTGGTTCTAGTCGTGAACACTGCCAGTTTGTGAGGGTTGACGAAGCGGGACTATCCCCAGATGAACGAGATGGTGGATAAGATGCCTGCGGACAAGTTCGTCATCCTCACCTTCCCGTCCAACTTGTTCGGCTTCCAAGAGTATGGCTCCCACGAGGAGATGATGAATGTGCTCAAGTATGTTCGGCCGGGCTCTGGATTCGTTCCCAAAACTGTCATGTTCAAGAAGGTCGAAGTCAACGGCGTCAACACCCCGCCTGTCTACACTGTCAGTGAATTTGTATCATTTAAACACATGAACACAGGTGGTACCTTGCAAATTGGGTACTTTCCTGTTATCTCTGTACCTCATTCCTAGACCGCACTACCATCCAGACAAATCTTTAGGACAAGTTCATAATCACAACAACCTACCAGGAACTGTGAATTTTATTTTTCTGCATTCTGCTGAAACTGATTTTGGGAGGCGGTTAGGTGAAGTTAGGTTGGGTCAGGTTAAATTGGTCAGAGGAAAGGTACAGAGATAACAGGAAAGTACCGCAATTTGACCTCCTATAATTTGATGTTGAATATGCTGGGAGGTCAACTTGGAATTCAACCTAGGCCATTTGACCCACAGACATGGGCAAAAATGGGCTTTGCAATTTGACTGCTTTGCAAATTGACCCTAGTCCAGCAACAGATTAGAGTTGAATTGCAGGCACTACCTGTATATGATATGTTATCCAATGAGCTGATTTTAAACACACTTTGAGACACATTTATCTTGTGTGAAGTACAGTGCCTGTGAAGCTGACACACAGATGCCCCAACATATGGGTGATTTGACTTAAGGACATATATACAATTTAAAAAAAAGTCCCAAAAGGAGGGCAATGTCTTGATATACAGGCACTTTTACAAAATTTATATAACCATTGATGCATTTTATTTTGATTAATTTTGATACCTCTTCAACAAATTTGGCAATTCATATTTGCAAAGAGTGAAAATATATTTCATCATTAAATATAATT